TGCTTAATAAGGGTATCTAATTGTTGCTGTTGTTGTCTCTGTGTCTGCATCAGTTGATCATTCCTTGCCGACAGAGCATCATACCCATCCAACCTGATAATTCCTGTCCTTCTGTCAGCCACTGGGGCATTATCAAATTCTTGAGATGCTAATGACTCAAAGATATCCAAGGCTTCTTGAGGGGTCTTGGTAGTCAATGATCCACCAGCAGTGGCATGCACCAAGGTTCTAGTGTTAGTGGTCATTCCTTGCAGGAAGATTGCTGCTTGTTGCCATGCCTCAATTCCATGCTGTGGACATTTCCTCAACAAAGTCTTGAATCTCTCCCAAGCCTCATAAATAGATTCTGACTCTTTCTGCTTAAAGCTTGTAATCTCATCCTTCAACTTGGCCCTCTTGGATGCTGAGAAAAACCTTTGCAAGAACTTGGTTTGCAAATCATCCCAAGTTGTTATACTTCCTTGTGGCAATGATTGCAGCCATCTCCTTGCATCATCTGTCAGTGAATGAGTGAATAGTCTCAACAGAATTGCATCTCTTGTGACACCATTTATCTTCACAGTATCACTCAACAATAGGAAGTTCTCTATGTGCAAGTAAGGGTCCTCTGCACTGGTTCCAGCAAACTGATCCTTCTGCACCAAATGTATCAAAGCAGGCTTCATTTCAAAGTTGTTGGGCTCCACTGTTGGGCGCACAACACTCCCAATTGGAGGAATCACTGCAGGAGTCATGTACTCTCCCAGTGTCCTCTGTGGTGGTGGTGGTCTGTGATTCTCTGCCATTATATCTTCCTGATTAACCGTACTTGATTCACCAATTTCTTGCAACTGTCTCCTTTGCCTGGCTACCCTTTTGTGCTTCCTCAATGTCCTTTCTAATTCTGGATCATACAACAACAAATTTGGATCAAGTGTACCTCGCATATACCAGAATCAAAATTGACCAGAAACTTAACATAAACTAAAATACTGAAAATAAAAGGATTCAATCTCAGAATTCTATAGTATCAGTTAGTGTTGAAAAACAAATTCCCCAGCAACGGCGCCAAAAACTTGTTGGACGTTTAGCAAGTGCACTAATCGTACAAGTAATAAAATGATGAGTAAAGATCGTTCCCACGAGGAATTGTGTTCAAACACCAATATACCATAGAAAACTAATTTGAATCAAATAAGAGTTTGTAAAAATCATGAATAATTTGTCACCAGAAAATTGATTGTAAGTAATTTGACACAAAGTAAATATGGATTAGGAATTAATACAAACAACAAGTAGTCAGAAAACAACTTTCCTCCATGATAACCCATATAAAAATTGATCATATGATGAATTCCTTTCCATGTGATGTTAATCAACCTTTTACTTATCATCAAGATGTAATCCCTTACTACCCTGATAGATACATTAATTAGAAACCCCGATCCCTTGGTGATCTCTTTCTTAATACATGCATGAAATGCTAAGGTTTTAAGATTACATCAGAATTCTAGCATCAATCCCTTGAGTACTACAATTCTGATGTTGAGATTATCAAATACAGAAGTCATATAAACATTCCTGTTCTATACTACTTCTTTGATAGAAATAATTAACTCAGAAAATCTCAAATCAACACATGAAAAATACTTCATCATATTAATCAAATCAACATAATATTATCATGGAGTTCCATTGCATTCAGATTACAAAGACTCTACTCAAACATGACTAAGGAATAAATAAGAGAAGAAGAAACAAACTTCATTTCCATGTTGAAAGTCTTCAATCTCCAAACTATTACAAGGAAATCCTAATACAAAAACTAAGAGAATTTAGAGAGAAGTCAGACTAAGTTTAAGAGAGAGAGTTCAGATCCCTCAGATCCAGATATAAGTGTCAAGGCTTTGCCTTATATAGTGTTACAATTAAAAACAGAAAACTGATGTGGGCGCTAAAACGTCCATAAGTGGCCGTTTTAGCGTCCATGCTTTACGTATGCTCAACTGCTTTTAACTGATTTCAACGCTAAAACGTTAAGGAATGACCGTTTTAGCGTCCAAACTTGGTGAATGCTCAACTAACTTTAACTGACTCCAACGCTAAAACTCTTGATTTGGACGTTTTAGCGGTGAAGACCAGAGTCTTTTTCCACTTTAGGGCGCTAAAACGCTTATTGCAGGCCGTTTTAGCGTCCAAGACCAGCAATTTTCCATCTTCTTAGTGCAGCAGCGCGCTAAAACGCTTTGTGTGGGCGTTTTAGCGCTCATCACCAGCAAGTTTTGGCCTCTTCCTGTAGCAGGGCGCTAAAACGCTCAGTGTGAACGTTTTAGCGCTCAACACTTAGGCAATTTTTCTCCTCTTGAGCTCCAGAATCTTCTTCCTTCTCCAGTTGTCTTTCAAGCTTGCTTTTCCTACAAGAATCATACAAATTTCCAATAAAGCTCTTGAACTTGTAATTGAGGACATCTTAGGACATTAACCTAGTTTTTCATCATTTAATCACACAATTTGATCCTAATTCCTGCTAAAAACCATGATGAACTAAGGGTTCATCAAGGGTAAATCATCCCTGCATCTAACAGTTTAACTACCTCTTTCCTTACCACCTTTTTCCTTACCACCTCTTTCATGGTTGGATTGAGTCTCTGATGTGCCTCTGGCAAGTGTGGTTTTTCCATGTTAAAATTGATAAGAATTGAGTCATAAGAGAGCAATTTAAATACATATTTGCTATTTATATTGATTCTTTCTATGTCAATAATATTCACCTTTTGGTTGTGTTTTTACATGAAGTGAAAATTACAAATTATAAAAAGCCTGTTGACGCGATTCCACACGCACGGATGTATCACACTACAAATACCAGAGAATTGGCGCTAGTTGGCGCCAGAATGGCGCAAACTAGCGCCACCATGCCACCTTGCGCCAATTGAAGAGAAGTGGAGCCACCAAAGTGAAGCAGATGGCGCCTCCCAGCACCATGGCGCCACTAGGCGCCCACAAGAAGAATAATGGCGCCATTAGGCGCCCAACAAGAAGAGAAGTGGCGCCCCTAGGCGCCCAAAATGAGAAGGATGATGCCAACTGGCGCCGAGTCACGGGAATTGCAGCATACATTGGGTAGGAAGTTGGCGCAAACGTGCGCCAAACCCGCGCCAACTGGCGCCGGGTTGCGAGAAAATTACACCGTCTTTCTGCGGGGGTATTTTTGGAAGAAGGAAAAAAATAAGTTTATAAATAGGATCCTTGTGCTAGACCTAGAGATATCGGATTCAAACCTAATTCTTTTGAAAGGAGGCCGACGACAGAGCTCAGGAGGATTCTTCCACAGTTCTTCTTCTTCATCTATTTCTCTGTAATTTTATGCTTTTGAATATTGAATTATTTTTAGCCATGATTATGCTTGGCTAGTTTTCTTTTATTGTAGTTAGGGTCACGAGCCCTATGTGAACCCTTGTTACGATGGATTGATTTAGTTTTATTCATTTATATAATTATCTTTGTCTCTACCTTGTGCGTATTTTCTATTTTCTTTATTAGAACTGATCAATCTGATAGTTGGGAATAGTTTGAGGGTTAGAACCCTAGATAGGAATATTGGGGTTTTGATCTTGAAAGGGGGTAGGACAACAATTGGTATGCATGCAAGGAATAGATGTGTATTTAATTGTGGATGCTTAAATTATTGCGTTCATTGCTTAATACCATGAGGAACATTGCAAGGAATTGGGGTTCCAATTGGAGGTTAAAGGGTTAACCTTGCAAGGAATTGAGGGTTAACTAATAAATATTTTTATATAATAATTTATCCGAGTAATTATATGAATAAATATTGTGAATCAATCCAAAGTAAGAAGTGGGGATCATAAGGTGAGTGCGCTCTAGCTACAATATTTTTCTCATATTTTTAAAATCAAATCTCATTGTTATTGTTTTATTCCTCTTAAATAAAAATATAAAAACAAGTCTTTATTTTTATTTCATATTGTTACTCAATTTCAATTCACAATTTTCCAAACAACAAATCGAGTTTTCCAACTTAAAGGGACTGGTTATTGTAGTACTTGGTTTACAATCCCTGTGGAGACGATACTTTACTTACTCATTATATTACTTGTGCGATCGGTATACTTGTCGGAGAGCATCAAGTTTTTTTTTTTATATAAATGAATAAAACTAAATCAATCCATCGTAACAAGGGTTTACATAGGGCTCGTGACCCTAACTACAATAAAAGAAAACTAGCCAAGCATAATCATGGCTAAAAATAATTCAATATTCAAAAGCATAAAATTACAGAGAAATAGATGAAGAAGAAGAACTGTGAAAGAATCCTCCTGAGCTCTGCCGTCGACCTCCTTTCAAAAGAATTAGGTCTGAATCTGATATCTCTAGGTCTAGCACAAGGATCCTATTTATAAACTTATTTTTTTCCTTCTTCCAAAAATACCTCTGCGGAAAGACAGTGTAATTTTCTCGCAACCCGGCGCCAGTTGGCGCGGGTTTGGCGCACGTTTGCGCCAACTTCCTGCCCAATGTATGCTGCAATTCCCGTGACTCGACGCCAGTTGGCGTCATCCTTCTCATTTTGGGCGCCTAGGGGCGCCACTTCTCTTCTTGTTGGGCGCCTAATGGCGCCATTATTCTTCTCGTGGGCGCCTAGTGGCGCTAGGTGCTGGGAGGCGCCATCTGCTTCACTTTGGTGGCTCCACTTCTCTTCAATTGGCGCAAGGTGGCATGGTGGCCCTAGTTTGCGCCTTTATGGCGCCAACTAGCGCCAATTCTCTGGTATTTGTAGTGTGATACATCCGTGCGTGTGGAATCGCGTCAACAGGCTTTTTATAATTTGTAATTTCCACTCCTCTTTTTCCTGTAAAAACACAACCAAAAGGTGAATATTATTGAGATAGAAAGAATCAATATAAATAGCAAATATGTATTTAAATTGCTCTCTTATGACTCAATTCTTATCAATTTTAACATGAAAAAACCACACTTGCCAGAGGCACATCAGTCTCCTATGCGGCTACCTCAGGTTTAATATCATCCTCCATTAGAATTTTATGAGTACAAAAGGAAGGGTTTATACCTTTTAGGTCGGAGAAGGACCATCCTATGGCAGCTTTGTGTTTCTTCAGCACCTTGAGGAGTTTTTCTTCTTCACCGGTTGCCAGTTCATTATTGATGATGACTAGATATGTGTTGTTTTCACCAAGGAAAGCAAAGTTCAAATTTAGAGGTAACTCCTTAAGCTCCACCTTCGGTGCTCCAAGAGGGATGTCATCTATTTTTCTTTCTAGTTCTTCCACTACTGGTTCTTTATCAGCTATTTCAACTTCTTCGTTGATTTTTTCTAACTCGAGTGGGGAACTCTCCTCTTTCATAGTATCATCAATTGCTTCTTGTATTATGTCAATCATAAAATAGTCTCCTCCGTGTGATAGATGTTTCATTGATTCGAAGACATCGATGGGGACTGTTTCTTCGTTCATCCTCAGCATCAGTTTTCCTTGCTCCACATCGATCATTGCTCTTGCGGTGGCTAAGAATGGCCTCCCGAGCAGTAGGGGAGTCTCGGCATCTTCTTCCATATTCAAAATTACAAAATCTGCAGGGAAAATAAATTTGTCAATTTTAACTAAAACATCTCCAATTACCCTATCTAGTCGTCGGGTTGATCTGTCTGCTAACTGGAAAGAAACTATAGTCGGCTTTAGTTCTTTAATTCCAAGAGCTTTGCACATAGATAGCGGCATCAGATTTATACTCGCTCCCAGATCGCATAGTGTTTTTCTTACTTCAATATTTCCTATGGCTATAGGGATACTGAAGCTGCCTGGATCTTTCAGCTTGGGAGGAAGTTTCTTCTGAATGATTGTGCTGCATTCCTCTGTCAGGGCCACTGTTTCGCACTCCTTCAGCTTGCGCTTCTTTGATAGAAGGTCTTTCATGAATTTCGCATAGTTCGACATGCTTTCCAGGGCTTCTGCGAACGGAATGTTTACTTGCAGCTTCTTGAAGATATCCAGAAATTTGGTGTATTGTTGTTTCTGGATTTCTTGCTTCAACCGCTGTGGGTATGGAACTCGTGCATAGGGAGATGGATCTGCCGGTTTTGGTTGCCGGTCCAGAGCTTTCTTTTTCTCCAATTTGAACAGCTTCTTCTCCGGACAGCTCTTTTCCACTTCTTCTGCATCATTTTCTTTCTCCTTTTCAGCTACAGGTTCTTCTTCTTTCTTCTTCTCCACTGTTGGCTTTTCCACAGGTTGGATCACGATCCTACTTCTAGTAACAATTGAATTACATTGAGCATTTGGGTTTGTACCTGTGTTACTTGGGAAGGTGCCATGGGTTCTTTCAGCAAATTGTTTTGATAGCTGACTAATTTGAGTCTCCAAGTTCCAGATTGAAGCTTCTTGATTCCGGAATGATGCTCGTATTTCATCTCTGAAGGCATCTTCATTTTGAATGTAGTCTGATGTGGTCTTGGACAGCTGTGCAAAAGCCTTTTCCCATTCGGAAGTGGTGCCTTGAGGTGGAGGTTGTTGTTGTTGTTGCAATGGCAACAGAAGGTTCAGTTGATGGTTAGGCTTGTAACTAAACCCAGGGTGTTGGTTAGGATTTTTCTACCCTTGATTACAATATTGATTTCTTCCTGGATTGTTCTGGTTCTTTTGATTGTACCAGATGCCATTGACCTCTGCTGGTGACTTTTCAGTTGTTCTCATGTAGTCACAATCCTCTGTCGCATGAGCTTCTGCACAAATACCACATTTAATTTGAGAATTACTAACAGAAGAAACTTGAGAAAGATTAAATTGTTTAGTAAGAGCATCTAATTGTTCTTGTTGTTTATTGTGCATTTGCATCATTTGTTCATTTTGGGCTAAGATTGCATCATAGCCGTCGAGCTTCATGATTCCTGCTACCCTTTGTGCATTTGGGGCATTGTCAAATTCTTGAGAAGCTAAGGATTCTAACAATTCTATCGCTTCCTCTAGAGCTTCTGTTTTCAAGGAGCCTCCTACAGCAGCATTTACCAGTGTTCTTGTGTTGGACGTCATCCCTTGGAAAAAGATTCTTGCTTTCTCACATGCTTCAATTCCATGTTGAGGACACTTCCTGAGTAATCTCTTAAATCGCTCCTAAGCCTCGTACATATATTCTCTTTCTTTTTGTTCAAAAGAGGTGATTTTCGATTTAAGTTTTGCCATCTTTGAAGCTGAGAAAAATCTGGCCAAGAATTTTCTTGTTAAGTCATCCCAACTGGTTATGCTTCCTTCAGGTTGAGACTGCAGCCAAGCTCTTGCATCATCCTTTAGTGAGCATGGAAATAGCCTGAGCAAGATAGCGTCACGAGAAACTCCATTCACTTTCAACGTATCACAGTAAAGTAAGAAATCATCAAGATGACTATAGGGGTTCTTTGCGCTTCCTCCAGCGAACTGTTCTTTTTGAATCAATTGCAGCAGTGCCAGCTTTAGGTCGAAGTTGTTAGCTTCTATGGTCGGTCTAACAATGCTCGCCGTCTGTGGAACTCGGGCTGGAGCCATATAATCTCCCAAGGTCCTTGGAGCGAGTTGATTGTTTTCTGCAATCGGTTCCTCCTTAGGTTCCGTTGAACTTGAGGTTTCTTTTGCTTCTTTCACTTTCTTTGCTATTGCGTCCTTCCTAAGTTTCCTTTCTGTCTTTTCTATCTTAGGATCAAACTGCAAGATTCGTGGGTTAAGAGTACCTCACATAAACTAAGATTGAAAAGATGTGTAGAAAAAATATAAAACGCAAAACAGAAAACACAAATGAAAAATAAAAAATAAAAATAACAAAGAACGCATAAAATTAAAATATGCAGAAAATTGATGCAGAATTTTAATGCAGAAAAAAGAATGTTACTTCTAATGTTGAAGAATTCGATCCCCAACAACGGCGCCAAAAACTTGTTGCGACTCGGCAAGTGCACCGGTCGTAAAGTGATAAAAGTGTACTGAGTACGAGATCGTTCCCACGAGGATCGAAATTTCAAGAACTAGTTCTCTAATCGCGTTTTAGTTGGACAATCAAAAGTTGGATTGGAGAGGATTGTAGTTGAAGAACTTAAAAATTAAAGACAAGTAATGAGATGCAATTAAAGAAATTTCAGAATTAAAAAGTCAATTGAAAAAGATGATGATTGATTAAAAACGTAAAACAAGCGTAGTTAGGGTTACGACTTCTCCCAATATCCTCGTTATGTTATGAATTAAAGAGTCAAGAACTTTTTCTTAATATAATGCCAATCAATTCTTTCTAAGTTAATTAGGGCTCAATTCCTTGTTACCCTAAATCTATGTGATCTTGAAAGAACTCTAGTTCCCCGATTATTCCCCAAGAAAACATGCATTAAGATCAAGAATTACAAGATTGCACAATTTCCCTATGCCTATTCCTAGATCACAAGGATTATGATAAATTTATCCAATCAGGGTTCATGCACCAACATCCCTATTGTCATACAATTCCCCAAAATCATTCTATAAGGAGCAAACTCATAGAAAGCATTGAAAACAGATAAATTTATTCAATTATAAAAAGAAAAGAATTCAAGAACAATTTAATCCATAAACATAAACGATTCAATTGGGTTCCATCTACCCCTAACTACATAAAAATCTAGGCTAGCATGCTGAATTGAAAAACAATAGTAAATAAAAGATAACCCTAAGCCTCCGTTGGCGTGATGTTGACTTGGTTCCTCAGTGTTCCAGCGCTCCGCAACAGGATTCCTCCTTCAGGTCTCTATGTAATTCTCTGGACTTGTGAATTGGTGTTTTGGTCTTGACCCTCAGCTCCTTATTTATAATCATTGGAGTTGTATCCTTCATTCAATCTCCCAATGAATCCGTATCAGATTTGTAATTGATTCCATAGTTGTTTCCTTTTTGCATTTAAAATCTTGTAGATTGGTGACAGATTATTGACTTTGAATCTTGTTATAATCTTTCTTCAAGCTTCCAATGGATCTCTATGAATCAAGGTCGATATGTTTCCGTTTTAATCTCAGATATCACAATCTGTATCCCTTGGAAAATCTTAGTTGAATCTTGGGCTGATGAGTTCGTACAGGGACATTTTAGCGTGCTATTTGTGCGCTAAAATGTTTTCTTAGTGCATTCATGTCTGCCTCTGGGCTTTTTGGCGTGCTAGTGGTGGCCAAAACATCCTCTTCGAAAGGTATCTTGTTGCTTCTGGAGCGTTTTGGCGCTATTGTTGGCCGCCAAAACGCTTTGGTCCATGGAGTTATTGTTGTTTTCTTCATCTTGAGCGTTTAATCGTTATTCTTGGACGCCAAAATGTCCTATTCCCGCTTGTTCATACTTGAAATCTTGCTTCTTTGAGGTTTGAACTCATCTAGTTGTATTACTTTGGTTCCAAAGGGCCATAATAGATGTCAAAAATCTTTTGAATTAAGAAATATAACAACATGTTAGCAAGATATTCAATTATTGTGACTTCACGGTATAAAACCATAGTAAACCATGGTTCCATGCAATTCATGATATATTTCAAGTGTAATTAAGTCTAAAACTATGGTAAACCAAGGGTTTATCAATAATCCCATTTTTAAGGGTCCAAACGCGATCTGGAGTCCAATGACTCCATAAACAGATATTTATTAACATCTTAAGAACTTAGAAACACATTCCTTTACTCAAATGATCCGAGTTTTACTTTTTAACCGATTAAACAAGCTTAAATCATCAAAAACACAAAGAGGTGATCATTGTATACCTAAGCTCCAAAACTCCGAAAATGGCACTAACTTGGAGCCTCCAATGCAGCTCAAAGGTACTAACTCTAAGAAACCACGAAAAAGTACTACAAGGTTGGACCTTTACACTCAAAGGTGGCTCCTTGAAGCTCAAAACGACAAGAACAAGGCTCCACTCAACCAACTCAGAAAAACAACCCCTAGACATCCAAACTCTGAAGCTAAAACTCCGAAAAGAAGTGTTTCCCTCGCTCACAGTGCAAGCTCACACCAAGCTATGGTGTTTAGGTGAAGAAACAAGGTAGAAAGATGAGTTCTTTAGGGATTTCTATGGAGGAAAGCTCAAATCTTGAGAGGAGAAGAAGGTGGCAGCAGCTGGACAACAACTCTCACGTAGGAATTGGCTGAGTATCAGCCTAGGGCATTGTGCCCTTGAGTATATATAGGTGGTTTAACATAACCACACAATATTAGCACTAATAGCTATGCTTAGCATTTTAATCCCAAACTTTAGAATCTGAACCTAATCAATTTTCCAAGATTTATCATAATTTTATTTTATTTTTCACAGCACCTTTCCGGTACGCGCTTTTACATAACCAGTATCAGTTCTGGCACCAATTCTCATTATTTTGACTTGAAACTAGAAATCACAGTCCTACATATTATTCTAGGAATATTCATAGACTTATTATAATTTTTTGGGATACTTCATCGGTACGCATTTATACCGAGGAGCAGAACCGCTATCTGCACTTTTCATCAGAAAAATGGCTTTCAACATTATTAAATACTTACCATAATTATTTAAGCCTTCTCATAATTATTAAGGTCAATTATGGAATTATTTCCTAATTTCTCATAATTAATTAATTAACTTCCTTAATTAATGGTGGGGGTTCTTACAGGCTTCTTGCCCGCCACCCCGACACCACTGCTACCTCCTGAAATAAAGTCCCCAAAGCGGGGTAAGATATACGAATATATCTCAGTAACCCAGAGGCTCTGGAGAATACTCCGCCCAATGGCTCACTTCGATGCATATAAATAATATAACATAACATCTGAAAACGGGATAAAGGAAAGGATTTAGTGTAGTAGGGAAACATAGGGATACAAAATACGACGAAGCTGGAATGGTCAATGCCAAAACCACGCAACTCCCAGCCTATTGGCCTCTGCATATTAGTCTACGGGTTTGAAACCAAGGTGTGTTCCCAGAACATCAACTAAGGTGTGTTCCCAGAACATCAAGCAAGGCACCCTCCATCCATATCCACCCGAGACTTCCTAGTGTGCTCCTATCCGGATCACACACCACGACCTCAGGTCAACTGGAACTCCCTCACGGAGACCTATTCAGTGGAAGTCTGTAACGCCCGAAGGCAAACAATCTACTGGCCAGAGACACAGTACATCCTATGTACCACCACACATGCAATACGCATGAACATGTTATCCCATATCATTTACATACATTTCCTACCATTATCCTCAATGGGCATGGTGGAACACACAAGGGGATCAAACCCCAGTACCAAGGGATTACCTTACTAATTTCCTTCTCGTAGCTCCAATGCAATACTTCCCCGAGCTAGGTACAACAAAAATGCCTACACATAGGACATTCCCAATTTAATTTCCATTCACCAATTACATGCCAATTATCAAGCATAAATGCATGATTCAAAATACTTACCACAACCCTTTTGGTCCGGGACCAAGGGCAACCCACCAAGCTCACGGTTCAGGGTTCAAATCCGCGAAAGACAACCTACAATGACCATATACGTATCATCAAAACACGGTAAATCCACCAAAGTCCAAAAACATCAAAATCCTCCCCTACACCATGGTAGGTTCGGCCTTTATAGTGTTAAAATAAAAAATATTTTTTTGCATTTTCTTTTTATTTTTCTTAAGCATTCTAAGACTACCACAATGTCATTTTAGGTGCCAAATTTCATCCTATATCATCACAACCTCATTTTGTCATTAATTTTACTCTAGGTCCAATTACCAATTCCACAAACCAACCACTTTTTCCTTTGATTTTCAAAGCATCCAACCATCACACAACCCTTCTAATTACCATTTAACAACCCAACATATCAATCGTACAATTTCACAACATCAAATCCTCATTTTTCCTCTCATGGCCGAATTGTACCTAGCCACACACCAAGGATTTTTCAATTCAATTCAATTATTCCACACCTCATACAATCCTATTATTAACTCATACAACAACTCAATTACACAATCCTAAAATCAACCAACATCACAAAGTCATGGTATTTCACCCAATTTTTCCTA